GATAGCTGAAAGATTGTTAAAAACATTCAAAATCGATGAAATTGAAATTTACATTTTTCAAAAAAGTTTATTTCACCAACCACCAGATTATTCATAAGATTACCAAATCTGGTGAAAATTCACCAGACCTGGCAACACTGGTGAGCATGTCGTTGAGTCGTTTCTCCATAGGTAGCGCTATCGGTGCTAGCAGCTATCTAGTCATTGTCAGTTGACATTTTGTCGTTTTTTTTTTTGAAAATATATAGAATTTTACGTGATAACCCCGCAGTTGTGGTGTATCGACAAAGTGTAGTCGCAGAGATTGTCGCCAATACATCTACTAATGTGTAGATGTGTTTTTAGTTTCGACCGACCCCGTACAGCGTATGTTTTAATCATGAACAGACTCCGATGCAGTTACGTCGTAGCATGGCCTCGTACAAATTGCAGGTTATTAGAGTGTGGACGTTAACGGGTTCATGACCAACGATATCCCACCCATTTTCTAATTAATTTCCACCCAGCTGACTGGACGTGCACAGTTGGTGTGCCTCAAATACCATAAATAACGGGTGCAAGTTCGTATTTAAAATATCACATGTATCATATTGATAGATAAGTCGACCTAGGAATTTTGGAACTGGTAACTGATCGAAGAACAAGAAATCTGGAAACATGATAAAAAAAGCTCTACTGGAGGCTATTTATCAGTTTTTCCATTTTTTAGTGTAAATTTCTTGAAAAGGTCTGCTTAAAGTAAACCAAGTAACCTATGTCCTAAAAGTTTTGGTTCAAAAATTAACAAAGTTTCTAACAAGCTAATGGATAGCTTATACTGCTTGATAAGTACCGAGACAATCTACTTGAATCAATTTCTGTCGTACTTGTCACATAAAAAAAGTCATAAACTAAATAACAAGAACTCCCACTCACAAAAATAAAGTACGAGAACAAGGCATAATACAATTCGGCGCTGAAGTAACAGGCCGCATCGTGCTCTTTCCCCCAAAAATCTCCCGCTTGGAAGGGTAGCTCACCCCCGGTCCCCCCAAATTTATGACGCATTCGCCTCTCCCGCTTTTTCGGGGGTCGACCTTGCAAGGTCGTTACCGCCCTGGTTCGGATGCGACGTTGCCGCGTCTTCGCTCGCTGCTAGTGCGGGAATGCGCATCGTGTCGCGACGTTGCCAGATGGTGCGGGAGGCCAAGGCTGAACGACGGGTGAATGCGCTTCTGGAATGGGGTTGCCACGGGGGACGGTGGAGATTCGATGCGTAGATTCTGTAAAGGGCGTCCCAAAATCCAAGATCTGAATTATGCGGCAAGTTTATCTACAAGGAAAACCAAATTTGTCTGATCTGATCTATGATGATGAAGGTGGAAACTTTGCCTTGTAATGTACGAGATGCGGTGTTGCCGAGCGAATCAATGTCGCATTGTTGCAGAATTTGTGTCTTTCATTTCGATCTAAAATTTATTGCTATTAGGATCAATCTACAACCGATCCGAAACAGATTGAAAAAATATGTACGCTCAAATTAAAACCACTTCAATTATCTCTCGTACACATTGAACCCAAAACCTTCAGATAAATTGGGTTTTCAGTGTATAAACAAAAATGAATATGCCGGCAAAATCAGTGGCGTGCTCAGGAAAGGTTTAAGAATAATATGATTCAATATAAAATAACAATCTAATAAAGAAAAGCTGTGACTTCTTTTGGTTCAAAGAAAATTCCGAGACACCCTTTACATGGCGCGAGTTGAGGTAACTTTGCAAAATTATCCTGCGGTTGTCTCGTAAACCGGTTACTTGGTAATTCATTTTCTATTCAGGGATGGAATATAACGTTTGATGAACACCGCAAGATAAGGTTTGAAATAATGTCTTATGCTGGACAAGTTGGAGGCTCTGAGAAAAAGGTTACGAGCATGTATATCAGAGAAATTAAACGGATCAAGTCAGTCAAATAGGCCCAAATAGTTATCAAGGTCGGTACGCCTGCTGGTAAAAGTAGGGTCGCATAAGGAAAAAAATTCTCTATCGTCCTAAATATGCCGAATATAGTGCGCAGAATTATCAAGGTTGGGAGCGTACATATATATACTAAGTGACATATAAATCCGAACACCCAGTTTAAATGGTTTTATTTTAATAAAAGTTTTCAGCCTTATCAGTTGGACATTCCGGTTTTTATACTGCTTTTTTTTTAATTCACTAACGCTCTAAAAATGAATATTTCAGCCGCAGTAAAGAATCAACGTTGGCGGATTTTGGTTCTTGACATCCTTTACGATCGGTTACGATGCCTAGAGTACGGAGACCTGTACGATTTCGTCAACTTAGTGAGTTTGATAGGGGCCGTATAGTGGGACTTCGGGAAGCTGGACTTTCTTTTCGGGCAATTGCAGTTAGAGTGCAAAGAAGTGTAGACACTGTGGTTAGGTGTTGTCAGGCATGGCTTCGAGAAGGCCGTACGCAAAGAGCAAGGTGCACTGGACGCCGCCGTAGAACGACAGACCGTGAAGATCGCCGCCTAAGATTATTGGCCTTAAGGGACCATTTCTCCACTACCAGGTCCATTGCAAATGAATGGTTTGCAGAACACGGAAGACCTATTGGCATGCGAAGTGTTTACCGACGAATGAGAAGTTTTGGCTTGTTTTCATACCGGCCACACTGGGTCCTCCCTTTAACTCGAGAACACCGACGTAATCGCCTTGAGTTGTGCAGACAACGGTCACTCTGGGATCAGGAATGGAACAGTATTGTCTTTAGTGACGAGTCTCGATTTTGTTTTGGCGTGCACGATGGTCGTGCCAGGGTTAGAAGGCGACGTGGTGAAAGGAGGAATCCACAGTTTTTTGTGGAAAGACATGTTCATCACACTGTTGGAGTTATGGTTTGGGGTGCTATAGCTTATGGTTCCAGGTCACCTTTAATCTTCATCAGAGGTAACATGAACGCGCAGCGTTATATCCACGAAGTTCTAGAACCCCATCTTTTACCCTATCTTGACACCCTGGCAGATCCAACTTTCCAATAAGATAATGCCCGACCACATGTTGCAAGAGTCACAATAGACTTCTTTCAACATAATGATGTCACATTGTTACCATTGCCACCAAGATCTCCCGACTTATCCCCAATTGAGCACGTGTGGGATATGATGGGTAGGAGATTGCTCAATTTGCAACGTCCTCCTCAGACTCTAGAAGCACTTCGAGAGGAGTTGGTGGTTGCCTGGAATGAGATACCACAGGAGGACATTGACCACCTGATCAGAAGCACGCCTAGGCGCGTTGGAGAATGCGTAGCACATCAGGGTGCATCCACACATTATTAAAGGTCAAAGGGCTTTAAAGCAGTGCAATCATTTTGAAATTTTTATAATTTACTTATTATGCTTCATTAAGTACTTATACAAAATTTTATTAAAATAAAACCATTTAAACTGGGTGTTCGGATTTATATGTCACTTAGTATACATTACATACAAAAACTGTCCCCTAGCCACATAAGACAATAATGAAGCAATCTTTTCTCTATTTGGCTCCAAAACAATTTAAACAATTTTAAATACTCATGATTTTCAAAAGCAATCATCAAAATGGATATCTATAAGACAACATATTATTGAACTTATATCTAGTATTCATTGAAACTTATCGTTTTCTACACACAAAACTCTTCGATACAAAGTTTTCTTCAAGCTTCGTTTAAGTTTTTTGCTTTCTTTTTAGAATGTCACATGTTTTAGCGTATAACTGATCCATGTACAGGCATTTTCCTTATGTGTGGTGAAAACATATTTACATCTATACAGTTATTATTGTTGTGATATTACGGTGTAAATAAATATCTACTACTATCAAATCAACTTCGATCGTTGCCAAGCAATCTTCTTCTGGTAATGTGAACATATTTTGGCAGGTCAGAAGCCATATGCCAATTCTTGGCACCTTCTATCGTGGAACCCAGAGTTTTCACCACACATGTATATGTACACTTTCTACTTGAATTCGGTTCAGAAATAGGCCCTTATAATTTACAGCCTATCATTAAGTACACCCTGTACAGAGAATATACATTGCCCTTCATACCTAGGCAGTCTACTTAATTTCACCACTTTAATACAGTCGTATTTCCGCAAAACAATCTGGAATGAATGAAAGTATCAACCTGCCTCAACAATTTCATTGCCGTTTCCATTTAAAAACGAAACGAGACCAAATATAGGAGAGCGAACTAGTAGCGACGAGGCGTATGATCGGCAAGTCGGAATTTGCGCGAAACACCTGGGAATAGACGAATTGTGGATAAACGAGGATAGAGAGGGGGAACTATTATTATCAGACACGTACAGGTTGGGGTTTGGCGTCTATCGCAACGAACAGTGGTGGCGTTGCTAAGGCCCGTATCGTCAGTCGTCCCTACAATTGTAGGGCGCGTTTATGGCCTCCTTGATTCTCATACTCCTTTCTCACCTTCAAAAATTTCTAGATTGCACCTGTCCCGTGTCAGCGCTCTCCTATCGTCAAGATATGTTTTCTTTTTATATTGTAGGACATTTCAGGCTGATAAAACATAGTGCAACTATTCAAAAGTCTTCTATGTTGGGACGTTTTGAAGAGCAAAAAAAAACAGGTAGTTTTTTAAGGGCATAGCTTTTGCCTTACTTTTAATGCATTCGGAGGTCTACAAAGCTTATAGATTGAATGCTTACGGCTTCCTTAAACAATATTTACATTGCAAACAATGTAAAATCATATCCAGATTACAAACGATTCCTTTTGTACGGTTTATCAATGAACCATTATTTTAAACTTGTCTCGAATTCTTTATAATGGTGAAGGAGTTTAAAGATGAAAAAGGTGAATGTGCTGAATAGCTAAATTTCATATTATGGTGAACGTTCTATACGTCGATTTAGGTACATATAATGTAACATTTCGCATTTCACCTAAAGATACCCAACTATATAGATAAATGAATTTAGAAATCTACTTTTGCTTACAGAAGGCACTGCGATCTTCGATCCCTTTTTGCCGCCTTTCAAGTGTGAAAAGTGCCCAGTGAAACTACTTAATCTGACATTCTTATCACAACCACTGGTAATCGTAAAACCCAAGTATATATCTGAAACAACGGATTTCTTATTTCCAAAACAATCTCATTTCTATCCCACTTCTGAAAGTGGGATATGGATGAAGGAAGCTTCGAGTCAACCTGCTTGTCTCCAACCTTTGTAGCGTATAAGTCTTCTTCCAATATAACAAATATCTTATGTCTTATTTCCCAAACAGCCCCTCATGGCACCATCAAACTTCTGAAAGTGAAATATTCAAGGAAGCTTCGAATAGACCTAGTCAACTCCATTTTTCACAGCCAACACCCTCTTTCACTCAAAATCGTAAAACGCGTAACATAAATCTCCTTCCAATACCACAAACGTCTTATTTCCAAAACAGCCCTCATTTCTCAATTCCGCTTCTGTAAGTGATTAAGGAAACTTTGAGTCAATCTACTTGACTCTATCTTTTACATCCAACACCTTCTTTCCATCAAAATCGTAAAACACGCAACATAAATCTCCTGCCAATACAACAAACGTCTTATTTTCAAAACTACCCCTCATGGCACCATCTCACTTCTGAAAGTGAGATATTGAAGAAGAAAGCTTCGAGTAGACCGAGTCAACTCGATCTTTTACATCCAACATCCTCTTCCTCTCAAAATCGTAAAATACGTAGCATAAATCTCCTGCCAATACAACAAACGTCTTATTTCCAAAACGGCCCTCATTTCTGCATTCCGCTTCTGTAAGCGAAGAGGGAAACTTTGAGTCAACCTACTTGACTCCATCTTTTACAGCCAACACCCTCTTTCCCTTAAAATCGTAAAACGCGTAACATAAATCTCCTGCGAATACAACAAACGTCTTATTTCCAAAACGGCCCCTCATGGCCCCATCCCACTTCTGAAACTGCGTTGTTCGCATTTCGTTCTATCCAGCGCTCCACCGCAGGCAGGCAGGCAGCATCGACCTGTCAAGGTCGCGCCTGGATGCCTGCCTCCCGCCCCCGCGTTTGTGGGGGTGGGCGAAGGAGAGAAGAGAGTAGCTTTGGGTGGTGGGGGTAGACAGGGCATCGTTGTTGCAGCCTGATCGATGCGGTCGGCCTTCTTGAGGTGAATGTGATCTTGATTAATTATTATTGCTTCAATTTGCTAATTGACTTATAATATCGGATATTTCGTCTTGTATGTTATTATCGTTTCTATTTTCTATTTATTTTGACAACGATCACTCATTATCCAAGTCGATTTTTTCATACTTCGACAGGTTGACATATTATCGTTTTTTTTTTCTTGATATTATACGTGATAACCCTGCCGCATAAAGCGGGCCGCTAAACATGAAGATGGATTAGTAGAAAGTGTCGTTGACATTTGGAAGATTGAATGGTAGGGCCATGGCAAGACCAGCGGTTTGATTCATCTGGCAATCCTGCATATAACTTTCCTCGCTATCAGTAAAGGTTACTTTACAAATTTTCACGTCTCTCCGTATTAGGGTTCAGACGTGAGACTGACAAACTGTACATGACATTCGCATTTATCTTATATGGATACAATCGAATCAGAAACTTCTACCACATCAAATTTTAAAGAAACAACAAAAAATGTGCACCAATTTCGACGTTTACAACATCTTAAGACCTTTATATCCGCCGTCTCTGTCCACAATAATGTTCGAGTAACGTTACAGAAGATTAATTCCAGGATTTTTGTCCGTATTTCCTCGGTCAAGGTGCTTTATGTTCTGTGTTCGATGACGGATTTTTGCGATTACCGACAGGCTATAATCGCATGGCGCATTAGAAAATTACATATTGGCCTGATTTATGGCTAATCGAGGTACACAGATTCTGGATTCCGATTTAACAATGTTGCCACATTTCATATAGCTCTCGCCGCTCGTCAACAAAGCTTCTGGTGGGTGGCTGACTTTCTCTCTGGCCGCAAGATATCCATCGTAATATACGACCTCCTCTCCTGTACGGTCAACCCAATCCACAGCTTTGCTTTGTTTTTATGTTCTGGAACGACCTCGGTGCAGACCTTGACTTCACACGACCTTGAAGTGTCAATGATATTGAAATCGTGTGACCTTGAAACGTGACGTAAATTATCTTGACCTTGAAACGATGTGACTTAGAAAGTCACCTCTATTCAAGGTCTTTCAGGGTTTCAAGGTCAAAGTCGTATACATTTTCAAGATTCACACGGTGATTGGAACGCGAATGACCTTGAAGCGACGTGACCTTGAAATTGTAAATGGCATTGACCTTGAAGCGATGTGTCCTTGAAAATCACCTACAGTCAATTTCTTTTAAGGTTTCAAGGTCAATGCCATTTACATAGGTCACATCGCTTCAAGGACAAGGTCATTTACAATTTCAAGGTCACATCACAATCAAGTAAAATAAAATCCTGATCCTTGTGTCCATCAAAAAATGGCGTCAAGTAGGTTAACTCTCTGCTTGCCATGAAATTCTGGACGAACCGACTATGAACGAGCATCATGTACCCCGACAACATTGAGTATTTATTAAATATTTAAAAAAAATTCTTTGATATTTAATAAATATATTTCTTATGTATTCATAAAATATTCGTTAAAGATATTTGTAGTATATAATTCATATAATTTTGCGATATTTTTTCCAATTATTTAGAAAATAATTGAGGAAAGATTTTTAAATATGAATTTTATATTTTGATGAAATATCTAATATTTTTCGTAAATATGTATGGATTTCTGAGCATTAATCTGATACACTTTTTCAGTGTATATAGAAAATTCTTCATTGGTTATTTTAGAAAAATCTGTATGAATGCTTTTATTAAATTATAAATATTATATTCCAATTTTTATTAAATATTTGTTTAAGATAACAAATATTGAAGTAAGATAAAGATATTATTAAATATTGAATAAGTATTTAATGAATATTTCGTGCTAGCGGGGTATCGTATCTAAATCAACGTTTATGCAGTCTTCATTATTGTTCCTCAGCCATGAAAATGAACGTCTATTCCTTATTTCACACCTAAATAACTGTAGCTTTAATGTCATGTCACTGCATATGATCATTTATATTCTATGAATGGTACTGCCCTGGTAATTGCAATTTTTACATCGTTGCCCGTTGCTGAGAGGCTCTTCTCAGCTGTTCCGGTAAAAAATTCATCGCGTGTATGTTCGGCCGAGATACAACGGCAGAAATTGATGCATCGTGGATATTTTTCACTGTTCTGAATGATTCAAGATCTGCAAATATCAAATAACTGCTATTTGATATAGACTCTGCAACATCATTAACAAATAAATTGAATAAAACCGGACCAATGTGGGAGCCTTGGGGTACACCTGAAAACGTATTTATGGGATTAGATAATCATCCAGCTTATCTGACATTCTGTGTTTGTTCTGACAGGTAGTTTCTAAATCAGGATAGTCGCTTCGTGATACTTTTTGTGAAAATGTTCCTGCCCCCAAAACTTTCTGAAGAGCGGGGGTAGCAAATTTTCCCAGGGGGAAAAATCCTGAAAACTTTCAAAATTGTGAGCAAAATAATGCTTACCGGATTCTCGCTGCTCCCTCTTTCCGTGCAATTTGATTTTCGAAATTTCTCACGTTTACAATGCTTCCTCTCGCCAACGGCATTAGAAGTAAAAATCAAACGATTTGACAACAGTGTAAGCACGAAAGTCGAATTTACGTAGCCGACATGATTTAATAAGGAAATTCCCAGATTTATGACGCGTAACGTTGCCGACGTTTGCAATGAACGAGCATTCTTTATAGTTATAGCGGATTTTAGGGGCAAATCACCAATGTTCAGTACACCGTTTACGTATACACTTAGGATTTACAGTTTGAATCATTTTACCTCGTCATTGGTTTGGTTGGTTTTCATACGCAAAGCACAAATATCCACTAAATCGTTACAGCTAATAATAGTTTGCTGGTATTTTATTGAACTTGGAATTTAGCTTCATTTGGCTGTTCGAAAAATAAAGGGAGATATTTTAGAAGGTAATTCCTTGTTAAAAAATGTTAGAAAAAGTTTCTATAAACATAGCTCCGAAAATGCAGTTTTCAATATACAGGGTGATTAATTTTTTTTTTCTTATTGATATGTTAGAAAATATTAATTCGATTGGCAATATTATTTGCTGAAATAAGATACTAATTTTGTCCTAAATATATCAAAATTATTCGTCCTGTTTCGTCCCGGGAGCGCCTTAAAAATTATTATTGACAAAAAATGTACGTCACTGCCTTTTTTAACTTTAATATTTATTGCTTGATTTTGCATCAAAAAATGCAACAAAATAAAAACCGTTTTATTGCATGTCACTGGACAAAATTGGTTTATTAATTTTTGCTAAAAGACTCACAACTGCCTTGGAAAGCAAAAAATTATTTCTCCAAATAGCATTGCCAAATTTCAACAAAATCGAGTAAATATTTTTCAAGAAATTAATATTTTTTTAAATTATCACCCTGCATCTTGAAAACCCTGCATTTCCGGACCCTTTTTTCATATTTTTTAACAAGCAATCACACTAAAATATCTCCCCCTATTTTTCGAACACCTAAGTAATTCTGTTTTGTATCGTCTCCCTGACCGTCATTCCGATACCTCAATTATTAATGATTTTGGGTAAGCGCCAAATTGAAATACAAAGTATTTTGTTGCATTATCTTTTTGTAGAAAACAAAAAAACAAAAAAAGTTTGTGTCAGAAGTGGGATTCGAACCCACGCCCACAGAGTGGACTGCGACCTGAACGCAGCGCCTTAGACCGCTCGGCCATCCTGACTTGGTAATGGAGGATACAGAATGCGCTATGTTACAGGAAAACCTTATTGATTTATTTTTGATCGTATTTTTATAGTACTTTCTAAAAATGGAACCAAGTTTATATTCACGTAACTGATTTTATAAACGAGTTTACGTAGTTTCCGTCGAAATATCAGCATTTCATTCAAAACAAGTGATCTAAAAACTCAAGAGAACTAATTCTCTTTTGAGTACAACACTAAAAATCAGTAGCAAATAAATAATATAGAAAGGACTAGAGCAGAAAAAATACTAGAATATAAAAAAAACTATCTTGATAAAATTTTAATGATTATAAAAAGGTTTATAGCAAATTATTGATTTTATATACTAAACAACGCGGCAACTAGTGTCACCCACTTTTGTACGAGCGATTGCTCATGCTAAAGTGTCCATATATGGTGCCATCTATGAGTGAAGTCTTTTATCATTAATCACCGCAGATTCATCTAAAGTCATACCTTCCAGACAGCGCTATACTTGAATATCGAATTCAGCAGCCCATCTCTATGTCCGGCACGTGTATATATTTAGATGAAATGATTTGCGACATACGTATTCGTTCCTCCAAGACAGCGGTGCGCCCGAAAAATTCGATATCGAATATGAAAACTCATCTCTATACTTACCGATTGACGTGCAACACTGGTTGCCTGAGCGTCATACTGACCGTACATTTTTGAATATACAAGTTTGTTTTCTTTATTTCATTGGTATTTTCAACGAAGTAGTTCAATTTTGAGCAGTATTGGTTATCAATAGGGAAAAGGGTGCGACAAAATGTTATTCGAGTATTTTTTTACTGTTAGCAAAGGTCAGATTACCGTTTAAAATTTATTGGGTAGGTGGCAATTTGGAGATTCATATAAGCATGATTTCACTAATAGTATCTATGAATATTTTCATCGCCATAATTAGATTTGGCTCAAATGACAATAAGAACGTGGGTAATCAACTTATTGTAAATAGTAACACTATTTCCTCAGTTCAAAATTTTTTTTTGAATAACGTTTCGAAAGTCTGTTCATTGATATAGTCGAAATCACGAAAGATGGCGATTACGTCATCATTTTAGTCTGTAGTAAAGACGTGCGACAGCGATTTGTGAATATATTTAATAAAGTTTCTGATATGTTAGACAGAGACAAACAGAATTTTATTGTCTAAACAAACTGTATTGCTAATTTGCATGTATTCGACAAAGATAGACGATGTTTTCATGTTGCATGATCGATCATATTTGAAAGATGAATAGTTAGGTTATGTTAAAGCAGGTTATGTTGTTTTCGAGTAATATTTTGGTCTTTGGTCTTCCTATCTCAAGGTATTCTACTCATATCTGTTTTTTTTTCAAAAAAAACACTCCCCACTAAAATTATTATTAAGGTATCACTCAAAACCATGAAATAAAATGAAAATAAAAATAATCAGTGAAATAACCTAACTTCGCAAAATCATAATATATAATATAAATTTGTTGTCACTATGTTTCTGACTCGTGATTTTATCATCGACTTACGTCCATTGATTACTTCAGTTCAATTTATGGTATGACGTAACAGTCATCTTTCGTGATTTTGACTATATGTAATTTTCAGTATATTCAGGCATATTCAAAATGTTTTGCACAGGAAAAAAATACTTCACCTGTTATTCAGATAATTAAAATCCCAAAAGAATCAAGTGTTTTGCTATAAATAAGATTTTATTTCAAAATATATGCGAAAATATGTTACAAAAACTTAAATCTAAATATGAAACTATATACTTTGTATGTACAAACACGTTGCTTTAAATATTTGAGCAATATTTAGGTAAAGTCAGTGGCAATATTAAGCAAAGAATTGCCACAATGACTAGGTAGAGATAGGCAAACCAAGTTAATACTTAGCGTCAGTATTCACGTCATTAAAATAAGAATAGAAATTAGAGAGAAAAAACTATTTTAACACGTATCCTAAACTTATAACTGAAAAAATGCATTCAGTCCTATTTACAAAAGTAAGACACACATAGTAGGATTAAAGAATATATGTATAAAAATCTATTTACAATGTGGTGATTCAGCAACATTTTGTTTTACAATATATGTTTAAGTATTAAACGTATATTAAACAAAGTTATGTACTTATATGTAAATTTATAGAAAAAAGTGTGGTTTCAGAAACAATATAAACATACAGAGTGTTACTTGGTGATATGCCGTCATTCCAAGGGCGAAATTTTAAGCAAAATTTAAGTAAAATATCATATCTGATATATCATATCTGATTTTCAAAAATTTATAAAAATGTTGTTTTTGATATATTAAAGATTCTTTGCCGATTTTGTTAAATAAATATGAGTCCCAGCGGCGTCTCGAAGCGGTATTCTCAGGAATAATGTTGGCAAAAAAAAGCGCGCCACAGAAGTTTTAAAAAAATATACATGCTTTTTCCTGATTAAGCAGCTAATGTTACAACGTTTTTGTCCCATGGTATCTCTTCGTATCTTGTTTTGTTTTCGAGGAAAAAAGAATAAGTTCTTTATATTTCGAAAAATTATGATTTTTTGTGAATATTCTGTCAAATCATTAATTTCCATACTCATCAAATTAAATTGATTTTATTTTAAAAAAATCTGACATGAAATCTGGGTATTTTAATTCTTTTTCCCTCGAAAACGAAGCGAGATACGAAGACATACCAAGAGACAAGAAAGTTGTATCTTTGTCTGCTTAATTCAAAAACAATATATATTTTTTAAAAAGTCCGCGGCCTACTTTTTTTGTCAATATTATTCGTAAGACGCCACTGGAATTCATAATTATATTCTATCAAAATTCAATAAAGAGCCCTCGGGACGCCACTGGACCTAATAATTTTAATCTACTCAGCCTCTTAATAGAACAAATAATATTGCCAAATTTAAACAGCATCGAGTAAATATTTTTTTTAAAATATTAATAAAAGAAGAATTTTTTTAATTGATCTTGAAAACTCCGGATCCATGTTTATAAATTTTTTTTTCATGTTTTAACAGGAAATTAGCTTCTATAATATCTCCGTCTATTTTTCAAACACTCTGTATAAGTTGACAAAAAATTCTATTGTAATGAAAACCAATTTTTTATAGAGAAATTTGGCTTTTTTTCGAGGCATAAAATTCCTTTTTCTTTTAGGTTTTCAAACAAACTATAAAGCGATGAATCAACTGAATTTTCAAAAGAAAAATTAAGTTACCTCTGTGTTTTTTCAATTTTGTTTATGCTACTATGTGACTCCACAAAATTCTTCGATTATTCTCAATATATCTGCTCCGACAGAGCCTGGGACAATAGAAAACAACATAGATTTTGTTACTGTTACTGTTCTTCAACTTCATTCTGAATACTTTTTATTTGATAAAATCATGATGTGTATAGTGATGACCAAAAGGCAATGTTTTTTAGTACTTTTTTCCCTTGTTTTATAAATAACTATTTTTGTTAAGAAATGTAAAAATTTTATAGTAGAATTGCTGCAAAATGAATTTTCTAGAAAAGCAAAGATCTTTTTGAAGAGAGGAAGTGATTAAAAAAATTAATTTTTCCATAAAATTGGTATATTCACATACATTTTTAGACCTGTACTATCATTTGTTAACAGGTTACGATGGCAATAAATGCTTTAAATTTTTTGACAAAATGAAACGGATAACATTGTTTTTCAGTCATCTATATACACACACCAAGAAACAATCATAGTATTAGGAATGCTATGTTAAGGACCTATTTGCACAAAATAAATCGCCACCAAATGTATTTCGTTGCGACAAATATGTCAACTGTCACTTAACACTTTAGTCATTTTGTTAATTTGAAACCTAATTGAAAAAGTTCTATCTAGGGAAACTTGGACTCTCTGTAGAACTTGGGATGCACATTGTGATATGAATTGCTCCTGAACAAATGGGCATTGTTCCCTCTGTATGCACCGTTTGGAGCCGATGCATATCTTGCTTCTGGTGGGGAGTATCTCCTATGGGCCGTTTCATACCTGAAAAATAAAAATCGTCCGTTAAACTTATCGTACATCCTTAATCGACATCCTGGGATTATCTTATATTCACCTTGACCTTGCAGGACTGTCATACATCCTCCCTCTAGTCCCGTCCGAAGCGCCGTCTTTCGACTGCTTGTACTTATAGTACTCGCTCTCGGCCTCATGTCCAAAGATGTCCAACACCTGCGGCGGGCTCCTGCTTCTGTTGAAGGCGGTTACACCGTGTTCAGAATTCCTGCGCCAGGCGTCTCTGTATCGCTTCTCCAACGCCGCGTCGTCGAAAGCGCCCTCTACCTGTTTCTTGTGAGACTGAATGGAAGACTCGCTCGAGTTCTCTTCGGAAGTGCCTAGGCCCAGATCTTTGTCCACTTCGGGAAAGGATTTGTACGGCTTCTTGCTGTATCTGTAATTATAGTAAAATACCAAAATTGGTGACAGTTGCGAAACTCATCGTACGAGACTGCTATTACGCGGAGGCCTTTGAAAATGTTGGCAAACGTCGCTGTGATCAAAAGGTACCACGTCAAAGCAGTGGCGCACGATGCTACTGTCATCAATTCTGGTATTTGACTATAATATGATTGATTAACAAGTTGGTAGGGGGCGGGGGCAATGGCAACTTTGCCTTCCCCCTGGATCCGCTACAGCAGCCGTGGTGGCAACGAGGATCACAGTAATTCTCTCAGAAGCAATAAAAACAGACTCGGCATTCCTTTTAAAGAAAATTGTTTAATCTCAAACATGACATCACCTCTCAAAGCAAAATTACCCATATTAACCTCCCTAGTACTTCTTCCTAATATTTCGAATTCTTAAAATTTCTCAACAACGAAAAAAAAGACGTGGCAACGCTGGTGGCTAAGGGAAATAGTTGACACGTATATAGTTATTGATTGGTGGAATCACGATATACTCATTTTTGCGCAAGCGCGGTTTTTAACTACATTGGGTGGAATGTGGTAGCGGTGATGCCGAACGTACCGATTTTTCGGTATTTCTACTGATAGATGTACTTTTGTGCCCCATACCAGTCATGCATAAGCGTACACTTGGGCAGTGGAAATGGGTATATTCAATGCTTAAAAACTCGGTAAAAGTTGTAATATTTGAGAAATTTAAACCTTGCTTTATATGAGTATTTTGAAATTACTTTATTATTTTGAATCGATTTTTAAACTTGTCTGTTCCACAGGGCCTGCAAATTCAAGAATTGGCATTACAAAGGCTTTGTGAATGAAAGAGAAATTGTGGAAATCAGATTCTGTAAAAGACCCCTCGCGTCTCTTTTTCCAAGACGCTTCAGCCTGAAAAGAAGTCTTCTATGCGGGAGCAATAAAAAACGAAAATTCTTTTTTTTCAAAGGCTGTGACACCCCACTATACAAGTTCATTGTCTGACGTTTCACCTCTCGGTTCAGTAAGTGATTAGTGTTCATCCATTTATTTTCCTAAAACAGCACTCCATTCATTGTTCCTAGGAATCAAAAGTATATGAAATGACACATATCAATTTGAACTGTACACACCTTTCTATGGTGGCAAGGTTTCCACCCTTAGCACCACCTAGGGTACTGCCATTCAGGGTAAATTGTGGATGAGGGATGCAGTACGGATGAGGCAACGATTTTTCAATGCTGGACAGTTTCATGTCATCCTCTATTTCTGGTCGACTACAGGATCCCGGTCCGAATAACGATAGCAAAACAGGCAACAGGAACAACCTGAAAAAGAAAAACGTATCAAGAACATGCTAAGAAGGATGGAAAATTTTCGCTTTGATGATAACAAGATTGTTAACGATAAACTGTATCCAAAAAGGGAGCTTATCCTAGCTCCATCTGACAACAACGTTATTTTATTCAAAGAAGAATCTTGGGATGCAGAAAAATAACTTAAAACTTGGTTAGACTGTTACAAATTAACATTAAATTTAAACAAAACACATTACTATTTTCTACAACTTCTGCTACCCTCAAACATAAGAGACATCAACATTTATTTGTAAAGCAATGTAAATTATACATCTATGAGAAATACATTCAGTTTATGAATTTATATTAACAGATTAATCAAAATTACTAGTAATTATTATATTTTTATCAATATTTAAGTTAAGAGTTTATTAACTACTAACGAATATTGATATTTACTTAAATATTTTTAGCACTATATACTATATAAAAAATATGTTATACCTCCGTCTTGATAAAAATTGTAAATTTTCTCAAATAAATGAACTATGAAAACAAACGCATTGTTATCTTACCCGTGCATTGCGCCACAGAAGACAACCAAAAACACCATTTTGAAGAACACCGAGAAGATATAATTGTTCGCCAAAAGAAGAGCAATCATGCCCAATATCGTGCTGATTGAGCCTTGGAAAATGGGCAAGCCAAGAGCGTACAGGCTTTCTTTCACTTTTTCATCGGGCGTTTTCGCTTTGGATGACATGTAGGCGTAACAGATGTGGGCTGTATAGTCAACGCTGAAACCTAAAAAAGATAATGCTAACGTTTTTAACTATTGTGGAAACGGTGGGAATATTTTTTAAGTATTATGACAAATAGTTCTGTTGGCGCCATCTGTTGGGCGAGTCTCTTACTCGCCAGAGCTTAATGGCCGATATCTGATTTTACGCGAACCACGACCGCACAAGCCGCCTGGCGGCGTGTCAGTGGATCGCTTTCTAGATGTCGCTTTGTGGTTCACCCGGCGTTTCTCGAAGCAGCAATTGGGACTATATATAACTCGGCGGCCGGGAGATGGAAGCAGAGAGTGCAGATTACACCAGAGCAGAGCGGAGTGGAGTATAGTGCAGTCAATGGCGACATAAGAATTAGTCAGACATAAATAGTTGTGTATATAAATGTTCTATAAATTAGTGCATTTCTTTTTGTGGAATCCAGTGTTTTAATCCACACCCAAAAGAACAAAGAAAAACGCTATAGTATAGTAGAACACGTCTCCTGATAAAAAAGGTGTGTAGTTTGTTTGATGCTGTGATTTCAAGTAATTTCAAAGAATCAGCGCTTAGACAGTGATGTGTATATCTGTAAATCTACTCGTAATTTTTAGATATTTATTTTTTAATGTCAATATCACTTTCATTCCTGTTCATGCTCATGTTTTTATTTCTTGTAATACTATTTTTGATTCATGTTTTTATTGGGAATTGCTATCTTGTTTAATGAAGTTCGGGGATGAGTTTAAATAGTTCATTTTATATAATCTCTTAACCAAAATAACTATCTTTTGCTACGATTTTATTAATTAAATTGTTAATTAATGAATATGACAAGTTGGTATTTTAATTTTTTTTTGAGAGAGAAATATTTTTTTTTCAAAACGTCGTAACATTAAAAAAGGAAACTGTATTTCCATAATCCCCAAATCCAATTATGCTTCAAGAAATTCAATTATTCAGTTCATTTTAATAACTAATTTTTTTGATGTTACGGGGGCGGTCCGATAAGTATTTAACCTACAAAAGAAATACGAAATTTTTTGAAAAGTGGTGATTCTCCTTTCAGTTCGACACACTCGACTCAGCGATGCGCAAACTTCTTTAACCCGGCTGAAAAAATACGTTTTCTGGAGGTCTGCTCCGCTGCGGCGATAACGATAGAATTATTGCCACGTATTCCTGAATCACCCTGTATAACTTGCACTTACCTATGCACATAATCAAGTTGATCATAGATATGGAATCTAGATTGATTCCCCACAGCGCCATGTACCCCACAACTCCTGCTTCTATCGAAATAATGCTCAGGGCGACCCAGAACGAACAGAGAATGTTGGGGATGAAGATGAACGACACTAACATCATTATGCTGGCTCCTATGATTATGTTTTGGATGGACAGCGGACGAACCAACTCGAACTATAACAAAGTAAATCGTAGTTGTGACTACATTATTATAAAACGTGGATAAAATATTTTTGGAAAAATATTTTTGGAAAAATATTTTTGGAAAAATATTTTTGGAAAAATATTTTTGGAAAAACATTTTTGGAAAAATATTTTGATTCGGTTCCCGCGTGCATAATTTCAGTTCAAAAAGGATCCCGTGTGATAAATCTGCATGTTTCCAGGCACAAAATTGCGTCAAGTTTTGTTTAAACAAATTCCAATAATTGTTTTTCTGCATAATACATTGTTTTTTATTTATTATTCTGATCAAAAAGAGTTTTTATGAATTATTCTGTAAAGTTCACAGCTTTCGAGATATAAGCAATCTATTTGAGTAAAAAATATGCCATTTTGTGGTAAATGGTTTTTCGGGTATTTCTAATTTTTTTAATAAAAATTGCACAAAGGTCAGTGGCGTATACTTTTTGCCACAAATAATCGTTCAGATCCCTCTGGAGACGCCACTGGACTTAATAATTTTGATCAAGATAAGGCAAGATTAATTCCTTAATATTATGAATATCACCGTCTCAAAATTACACAAAGAATCGTCTGGTAAATTTATGATACTTACTCAACACCCTGTATTTTACAAAGTGGATTTGTAAATCGATTTTACATACGTATTCTGCTAATGCCTCTTAAATGGCGCTGTCAACTTTCAGATCCTTCTTCAATACGAGAATAAAATATTATATTTAGTTATCTTCAAGTAGAATAACGTTAATTCAGCTATTTTTCGTATTTTTAACCAATAAGAAAATGGAGTTTTGGCTATTTTCCCCTACTTTATCAAATAAAAATCATTTTCATTCGATCATCAGATTCCACTTAATACTACTTTTGTATAATTGAATTTTAATAGGCTAAGAAACACTTCAATTTTTCTTATAAGAACTGTATCACTTACTTGATCGAAAAACACAAAGTAGGGATGAAAAACAGTACAGTTCAACGTCGATTCTTTACATATCTTCCTGAGAGCTCTGACCATTTCTTTCTCGTGTTCTGTGCCGGAAATGTTGACTGCCTGGATCAGAAATCTCATGGCTATTATGTCTTCGCCAGCATCATCAAATTTCACATCTAGAGAGAACGCACTAGACGGCGCTAACCACAACTAAAAAAAAAATGGAAGGATTTAGTAGTCACGAAGAATTTAAGCATTAGATTTCTCTACAAATTTGTCCAATAATTTTATGGTAGAAAATCGTATTCTACTCTACGTCTCGTTAAAGGTCATTTTTTATAATTTCTGTCGTCCTTAAGTGCGAGAGCTGAAGGTGACTTGGTGCTATTTCCAATGCTCTTGTGTAGGAATTCAGCGGCCCACAACCCGCGGTAGTGACATAATTTCACACCCACTGCTGCGCATTATCGGGTTGTGGAGATTTTGATAGAAATCGGTCTTTATTGGTGAATGTTATTGTCGGAGCCACTTTCTCATCGTCTTGGGGATTTAGCCTTTGCCACAACTACACTAAGCCATCGAGCTGAGGGGAACTGTCTGCATTGATACTCCGAGGCGATTTAAGTAGGACTCACGTCTGTAAGGAGCAGTCCCCCATTCCTGTGAACCCTCATTGCTCGAGGGTTCTACCTTCGGGTATTGAGGTACATCTGGGACTTCCTGTCCTTGGTTCCCTACCTGTCTAGGTATTTTTTCCTTATTTTAGTTTTTGTAGGAAACTATTTTAACTTACCTCTTTCAAAGCCTTGATAAAATCTTTCTTATTCGAGATCGATATATTCAGGTAGTCTTCGTTTCTCTGTGCATATTGTAGAAAACTTCTCAGCCACGATTCAGTATACAGGGTGTTGGAGATGTAAGATGTGTTTTCGAACGTCTGAGTTAGATTTTCCACTTGGTGTTGAACGTCTGGATCTGAGTAGTCGTACTCGCCAGCTATTATCACTTGAACCCTGAAGAAACAGTTTATTAAAAAAAATCAGACACTGTTAAACTATCTTAAGCTTCGGTTTTCTTATACGGTAAACTCCCTACGCCTTTGTTTTTAGGTTTTAGAGAAAAAGGTTGAGTCAAATTGTTTCAAAAGGCAAAATCGAATCGTGATAAGGTCGGTTCACTTGGGCACTATGAATCTTAGACCTCTGCATATCGAAACCAAATTCAGATCGCCTGCGAGCGAATCATATCCTGTCAAGGTTTTCCATGGCCAACTATTAAAGCGCAAATCCAGAAATCACGTTCATTAAGATGATACTTGGCATGACCTACTATTGTAATGATCTTTTATTACTCATAAACTTTGTAGTAAAATTTAGCTGTCGGAAGAGAATAATTATATCAAGGTTTTTCACGGCGTACTAGTAAAGTGCAGAGCCAAAATCACATCTGTAAAGATGGTACGTTCCATGGCCTATCTTTAAGATATGTTGTAATTATTGCTCATAAGATGTGAGTAACAGTTAGAATAGAATCCCCATGTTACATTTTTACCGAAAAAAAGTTACAGGTGAAACTGCATATGAAAAGTGCCCCCAAAGGTATCAATCCAAATTGAAGCAATATTGGGTCAAAAAATCTCGCCCCAAAAACGTGTTTTTTTCGACAATAATTTTTTACGGTCGCAATTTTGCTCAAAAAAAAATTGTAAAAAAATTACCGATGCTAGCTTGTCATATCTTATATAACTGCATTTTTATAGATTTATGACACTTATATGTTCGAGAAAATATTTTTTTTATTTTTTTTTCAATTTTTCTGTTAGGTTATAAGAATTTCGCAAACGTGAAAATTCATGATGTGTCGGTGCTATCTTGCACTATTTTTAGATCCACTAACAAAATCACGAATTTTTGCCCAAAAAATCGCAAAAAAGACGGAAAACGAACTTTTACCGATTTTTTTAGAGTGGGATGTCATTATTTCGCTAACTCAAAAATTCATTTGTATAAGCATATTTATTTTTGACCATCCTTTGAGGTTCCACAATCAAAATTTTGATTTGTTTCCCGGAACATTGTAAAATAGAAAAAACAGCATTTGCGCTGATTTTTATTTTATTTTTGAAGCTTTTGGTCAGGAAATAATTTGCTAACCCACTGTACGAATACGTTTTTTAATTTTTTTTCAGTTCCATTGTCAAAATCATGATTTCTCGTCCGAAAATTCGCGAAAAAGGCACAGATTTTTCTCGAATTTTTACAGTTTTAGAATAGGGCTATAATAACTTACCTGAGTCAAAAACTCAATATATGCGTGAATTGTGTTTTTGGGTGAGCAAAGTTAAAATATCCTGCTCTAAAATAGTAAAAAGCAGTTTTTTTAATTTTTGGCGATTTTTTTAGCAATAATTCATGATTTTGGCTGACTCAAAAACACAATGAGCATACGTAATTTTATGCATTGTCTAAATTGAGAATCGTGGACCGGAAAATTGGGAAAAAGGGAAAACAGCATTTTCGCTAATTTTATTCAATTTTTGATGCTTTTGGTCAGGAAACAGTTGGTTAACACAATATCACACCGTATTGATGCATTTTATACATTTTTTCAGTTCCTTTTGCCCGGAGAATTGCTAAAAAGTCGTATTTCCCTGATTTTATTCAATTTTTGACATTTTGCCAGTAAACGAATGTTTGGCTTAGTCGAAAATGTGCACATATGCACGAATTGAATTTTTTGGTGAGAATTTGGAACTGGAAAAATCGGTGAAAATGCGGTTTTATCAATTTTTTACGATTTTAAGGGCAATAATTCATGATTTTGTTAGTAAGACAGCACTGATATACAGTGGAATTCTAGGTTTGCAAAATTTTGATAACCTAGCAAAAATTCAAAAATACTTTTCTAAAATTTTTTTTTTCGGAGCGACACGTTCCACAAATCTATGGAAAACCATGGTTATGTATATATATAGGTAAAAAATTAAAGCTTCCGCCTTTTGTTGGGTACTTCGACAAAATTTAAGCAAAGAGGACTCTTTATACTTTTTTAATTCTCTCTAGCTTTCAATGGACTTTGCCATCATCATCAGGAGCTGCAATTACAATGATAACAGTAGCAACAAAAGTGTAAAATGAATTTAAATTGAATCAACTTACAGTAGTATGTGAGGATGTTGCTAATTGTTGTTTACGTATAGGATGAGGGAAACGTCCAGTAACATGGTGAGAGCTGGATACATGGTACAATGGTCAAAATTATATAAAATATGACAAGAACAAGTTAAAGACAGATTAAAAATTATTTAGAAAACATTAGAGCATTACGTCGTGAAGCCACTTGATGATTGCACAAAATGGTGGTCATGGAATAATGAGTGAGATGAACCTTTGACAGAAGGCCGAAGGTTGTCAATGTCTGTGTTGAAAGATGGAACGAATTGTGGGCGTGTGCCAAAACGTTGCCAAATTTCTTACATAACATTCTGAAAATCACATCATCTGAAGTGATTTGGCAACGTTTTGGCACACGCCCACAATTCGTTCCATCTTTCAACACAGACATTGACAACCTTCGGCCTTCTGTCAAAGGTTCATCTCACTCATTATTCCATGACCACCATTTTGTGCAATCATCAAGTGGCTTCACGACGTAATGCTCTAATGTTTTCTAAATAATTTTGAATCTGTCTTTAACTTGTCTTGTCATATTTTATATAATTTTAACCATTGTACCATGCATCCAGCTCTCACCATGTTACTGGACGTTTCCCTCATCCTATACGAAAACAACAATTAGCAACATCCTCACATACTACTGTAAGTTAATTCAATTTAAATTCATTTTACACTTTTGTTGCTACTGCTATCATTGTAATTGCAGCTCCTGATGATGATGGCAAAGTCCATTGAAAGCTAGAGAGAATTAAAAAGGTATAAAGAGTCCTCTTTGCTTAAATTTTGTCGAAGTACCCAACAAAAGGCGGAAGCTTTAATTTTTCACCTAACTGGTTTAGACGACAATGACCACGTCTCAAGTTATATATATATATATATATATATAACAATGAAGCATCGAACAATGTGTAACACAAAAAAAAAATTGACCAAGCGAGACAAACAGACCAATACAATTAGTTCATAGTCCCACCCATTTGACAACGCTTCGATCTAGAAACTTATTTTCTTCTTCTTCTTATAAACACTACAATGTGTTTTCCAAAAATCATCAGAAACCTCTGAAACGACAAAAAACAAAGCTTGAACTTTTTTTTCGTTTTTTGCCCCTAGCTCCGCCACCACTGGACCGATTTTCAAAAATTATATCGCTTTTTCGTCCTTGGCACAGTACTAACCAGGTATAAAAATATTATTCTAACCCGATCAGTACTTTCCAAAAAAACCGTAATGTCTCATTTTCGAAATTTTTCGCGATTTCAGTGAGAAGAAAACAAATATTCTAAATTCAAATTTTTTTATGATTACAGCATCAACTATCCTTTTCAAAAAATGATGAAAGCCTCCTTTTTCTTTGTTGCTGCTTTCTTCAAAATTAAGATCTGTTTCCCAAAATATATCGTTCTAACCTTTGGGCAAATCTAAAAGGCTGGAACGTGTCGAAATCGCATATTTTTTTCGCTGTATCGACTACAAACCTTGTTTACATCAGTTAAAATCCCCTACAAATGGACGGAGTCAACAACAAAAACAAACTACTAAAGGTGAGGTAGGTAAGAAAAGCGGTGCTATTCCATAAACTGGTGATTGGGGCCCAATATTCCAAAATTTGGAAACCAAACGAACCTTCTCGACCAAGGCTTCAGCAAGAAATTACCGACACGAATTTTCCAGAAGCTCTTCCCCAGTCAGTTCACTGAAGAACCTACCTACACATAGCATGGTTGCCAATGGGTAGACCCTAGAAAGCGAACCTTTATACTCGGGAAAAACGTTGGCAACAAGTGTCTTCGTTCAATAAAAAAACAACAATAATTAGAGTCCGTTCCTGTTTTTTTTTATACTCCAACTACCACCACTACCTGGTAAGTGATCAAAATAGTTGTGTGATTTTGGCACGTTACCAGATCAATTAACATACACGCTAAAAAAATGCTAACTTCAAAATGATGTAACATTATGACGGTTTAAGCAACCTATTTCTAAATCTCTTACCTATAAGGAAACTCCCTATAATAATCGTCCTCCCTATCGAAAAACTCGATAGCGTACGAATCATTCTTCGCAACCTTCCTCCTTTCTAGTCCCTCCTCGATCTGCGTGATTCCATACCCGGCTCCGAGAAGGTACACTCCGAAGATGAGGATGATCAAAACTTTGACGCAACCGTTGTTGATTATTGGCGCGAAATAGTCCCTGAAGAAAATCATCATGCCGTGCTCCTTGTTGTCATCGGGGTTGTCCGCGTCTTTGGGGTCGACCCCGCCGCTGCAGAACCAGCGGTACAGGAAGCATTTGTCCTCTGGAAGAAAAGAAGAATATTTTCGAGAGTCTTACACTTCGGACGGAGGGATCGCTTGAAAGTGGTTCCGTAAAGTCTGACTTTATTGATAGCAGACTCGCCATACACCTTTGTGAACATTTCACACACTTTGTTACTTTATTATTATTATCATTATTATTATTCTTGGTATTGAACAATTAAAAATCACTTGTAACAGTGACCGCCACATACACGGCTATAATATAATAAAAAAAATGTTGATAATCAGTCTCTCCTGTGTGCGCCTAACCGCTTCCTGTTGGCGCTTAATGCATGTGTGACTGGTGTGGGTCAGCAACGTTGCCAGATGGTCGACACTTTCAGTAACTCCGGGAAGAAACTTCTAGTGTTGGAGAATATGGAATGATTGTTTGATCCGGGAATGTTTTTGTTATACATGCTCCTGTCTGGTTTGACGCCATTTTTCTTTTCATAAAAGTGTTTCGTTTCACTCGAATCAATATTATCGCTACGGGTTTACGTAAGGGTCATGCGGACGTTAGATTACAGACTTCTTACGACTGTAGTGTTACATTATATCTATATATGTATGTATATGGCATGCACACTTTAACATTACGAAACCATCATCATCAAATTAGAATTAAGAAACATTTAGTCAAGTAATATAATTCTGTAGGAACCTTCCACGTAATTTTACTACCTAAGATATCTAAGCTACTATTTACATTGCAGAAAATACAAAGACAATGAGATCAAGGGTCCGGTTTAAAGGACGTTTCTCTACAATCCCCGAATTGAAAATATTCTTCGGAAATCTCGTAGCTTACTTTCCCTTATCGAACGAAATCCGCTCGGTAAGTTGTTCTCGTCGGATCGAAAGATCGAAGTAGGCCGTACGATGCTGACACGATGCCCCCGATTCCGTTACATAAGGCGGCAGCGACGAGATCAAGTAGGCTGGTGCCGTGCCCCGGTGATACGCGGAAACAAGCGACAGACTTTCGTTTGTACGAACGGCCTTGAAAGGACCGCCAGCACGAAAATAATGACACCTGAATGATGCTATTTTATGAACACTTTCAAAAAATTAGTACAAATTGATAGATATTCGTACTACAAATTACCAAATAGTAGTAAAAATGACTCGTTTTTGACAAAAAATATTTCTCGAATAAAAACATTTCCTTTTTATTGAAATGACCCAAGATTATGTATGGATTGATCCAAAGACCTAGATAAATTTCTGCAGTCTGCATGAACCATTAAAAAAATGCATGAATAAAGTGCAAAAGGAGAAAGTAAGTCGCCGTTACAGCAGGTCAATCCAGCGCCAGCTAGATCGAACCACATCGCATTCGCAAGACATGGCATGCTGTTTCTTACGTAATCATCTGAACAAATAAACGCGGAATCTAGTAGGTAACGTGTAACCAGTTGCCACTGTTTACTTGCATATACCGTTATTGTGTTTGTTTTTGCAGAGATGCAGATCTGACTCCCTGCTAGAAGATTAGCAAGCTTATGAACGTATAAAGGCGGTTTTTCACTACACACAACTCTTGTTTCCATCAAGTGGGCTACATTTTGTTATTTTGTTTTTGTTTTCGGTCCTTTTCCACTGGTTTGTCGCGAGGAAGTCAAGGACAAATCTTCTTCAATAACCGATCAAAATGTTTTGAGAAGAAGCTTTTTTTATTCTTAGTTCAGGCTGGTAAAGTAAAGTAACTTTAACCGTACATACATATGTATATACAGGGTGGCGCATCAAAAACGAAACAGACGCATTTACCGGCAGCTTATTTCTTTTTTTTGGGAAAACGCTCAGAAATTTGAAATTTACTTACGTGATTTGGAAACGGGCAGAACTTTGAAGCAGAAAATAGAATGTAGATTTTTCTGCTCGCAATATCCGGATATGGCGACACAAGCCGCGAAAAATGTCAAATGCCAAATGAATAGCAGTACGGTAGCAGCACCTGAAAAAAAATGTTTCCTAATCATTATCACTTGATTTTCTTGATGAATTGAAAAAAATACGGTTTAATAGCAAATCGAACTCAAAAGTAGAAAATAATTTTCAAATACGGGAGCGTTTATGTTATTGCAGTAGAATCAAGTATGACTCATTAATTTGGAAGATCAATATAAAAATTTAGATATTAATATTAATTAGATGTTATATTTATTTTTTAATTGCTATTTACAAAATTGGAGTTATTATGGAAATATTTATTATAATTAAATTTTCATATTGATCTTACTCTAAATTAATCAGTCATACTTATTTGTTGAAGTTCATTTTCTTAATCATCAAATTTTTCCTAACATTTAAATCCACATTTCTTCCCAAATTTCAAAATCACAATTTTTTTCGGAATTTCCATTTTTTCATAAATTAAAAACTTCAAATTATTTCCCAAATTTCCGAATTTTCCAATTATTTTGCAAATTTTCAATTCCACGTTTTTCACAAATTTCAATATTGAAATATTTAAAATAATTTTGAATACGATTTTTTTTCGCAAGATTATCGTATTGTAATCGGCCCTTGATCCCCATGCAAAAAAACAGTTTGATCAAAATTCTTTCGAATTTTTTTCAAAATCATTAATATTTTTCTAAATTTTAAATTCAATTATATTTTCAAATTTTTCAAACATTTTCCATTTTTAAATACTAATTGCCAAATTGTTTTCAAATTTCGAAAAAATTGCAAATTTACAAATTCTCTATATTCAAAATTTTCAAATTTAATTTCTTTCCAAATTTAAAAATTCAAACTTTAAGAAAATCGAATTCAAATTTTGTATTCTCATTAGCCCTTAAGCTCTGTGCAAAATTTCAAGTTAATCAAACTTCTTGAAATGGAGAAAATAAAAAATCATGTTAAAAAACGAGAAACATTGCATCCATATGACCATATACACAAATTTTTCATATTTTTTACACGAAAACCGCAAGTCAGTGAAAAAAAATCAGGTGAATGATTTTGCTCAAAAGCTCAAGTCTAAAGCTAACCTCGAAATTTAAGAAACTTCTGAAATATGCACATGTATGAAGTTTTTTCAAAATTTACAATTTTTTCAAATTTCGAAGTTTCTAAAATTTTTCACAATTTCCAAATCAATTAAAAAAATCCAAAGTTATTTTTGAAATTTCTGAATTTTCCAATTATATTCCAAATTTTCAAATCCATTTTATTCGAAATTTCACAATTTGTTTTTGTTTCAAATTTCATTCCTTCCTTAACCACTGTGCAAATTTTCGAGTTGTTCAAACTTCTTAAAATAGGTTGAATTTCACTTTTCCACTTATTTCCAGAATCCTTAATGTTTTCCCAAATTAAAATTAAATTTTCTCACCAAAATTTTTCACAAATTTAAATCCAAATTTATTTCCACATTATTTTTCAAAAATTCTATTTTTTTCAAATATCAAAATATCCAAATATTTTTCAAAAATCTTCAAATTATTTTCTAAATTTCCGAATTTTCCAATTATTTTCCAAATCTTTAAAACCAATTTTTTCCAAATTCCAAAATTCATTTTTTCTAATTTCATATTTGAATTTTTCTCCAAGATGTGCAAATTTTCAATTTAATCAAACTTCTAGAAATTAGGTGAATTTTTTTCAAAATCTTTAATTTTTAACCAAATTCCTAGTTTTTCCCAATATTTTTTTTCAAAATTTACAAATCTTCAGATTTATTTCCAAATGTCCGAATTTTCCAAATATTCTTCAAATTTTCAGCCATGTGGCACGCACAGAATTGTTTCTCATTTTTTAAGCAAGTTCAAGTTCAGTTAAGCGTTCAAATCCAAAACTTTTCCCATCATATGTAGCCCAAAATTTCAGACAAAGCTTCAAATATAGAGTTTTTGCTAAAAATGGAATCAAGAATCACACCCTTAAATATTTTACCTTACTAGATTATATACGATAAATGTTATTTTATACCTGAGTAAATGCAGAATATGGTGACAGACGGAAACGGACTGAAAATTCCAATCCAAAAACTGAAGAAATCCGTCACAGAAGTGATAGTTATTGAAACTGCTGCTTCACTCAACATTTGAGCCATTCTTTCAGGTACTGGCGTTTTGATAGATGTCCGTCTCCAAGCTGCTAGCATCACGAAGGTATCATCAATCCCAATACCTGAAAATATATAAAACATTTGTGTGTCTCAATATCGCGGGCGTAATGTGGGCGTTTACAGCCCGTGGTGTGGAATTAAAATCCAAGGTGGAAACCGCGTCTAACACGCCAAATTATAAACACTTATACACCCAAAAAATATACAGGGTGTTTCAGTTTATTGTTGCATAACTTTAAGATTCGATAGAACTTTTAAAATTAATGCATAAAGTCTATATAAACATGGGTCGAAAAATGCGTGGCTTCCGAAATTTACTTTCTAAAATAGTTTTTTTCAAATATTTCGAACAATATTTGATGTATAACAGTGAAAATTGGTATACAAGGGTTTTTTGGTACGGCAAAACGAACCATGGGCATAGTTTTACTGTAGCCGCTAGAGGGCGCTCTCTACTGTACCTGTAGTGTATTAAAATGACCGATAATTTTTTCTTAGTGCCATTTTTTGCTTTTTGAATAAAAAACTGATTCTTCGCACTTTGCAACATAAAAACGCTCTCTTGTGAATTTTCGTTATAGTTGGCCGTTTTTGAGATATTTCGATTTTTAAGGTTCGATGCATTTTTAATTATCTATGATAAAATAACGTTAAAAAGTCAGTATCTCGATAATTTTTAGAAGTAGGCTGTGGCTGCAAATATTTTTGAAATTGAAAGCAGAATAAGGTTAAAAACCTGAAACGTTTTTTTGCAATTGTGAATGCACGAAATTTAGTTTCTTTTAGCTGTGGTGAAAAGTGGTCGGATTAAAAATGTTGGTCGATTTTCTGATCCACGCTTCACTTTAATACAACGAAAAGTGATGATTCTCAATATTTGCCAGGATCGCAAAAAAACCAGTTTCCAGAAATCTTCAAAAATCTCATCATTTCCAAAATGTCTACGCGCTTTTTTGAGAGAGAAAAACTTACCTATCATCAGGAATGGCGCAGCCAAATTGATACCGATGAAGTCGACTCCGGCGTACATGCAAAGTCCAAATGCACACAACGTTGCCATGGCTGCACTAACGTTGCCCAAAAGGCCTAACCACGGCTTGGAGCGAACCCAGTCGAACATCATACAGGTCACTGAAAAAAGATTCGATCAAACTCGATCGCTACTTTCCAAACACGATAAAAATCTTGCACGTTTTAGCCATTTTTGGTCCAGAAAGGACATTGCTTCAAATACTCAATATTTAAAAAAAGAGATTTGGAAATGGTTTGAGATTTCTCATTTTTTTGGCTTATAACTCGTCCATGAACCGTTTCCTAAAATCTGCAAAGCTTCTTTGTCTTGAAAACAGAAGTAACATTGAAAAAAAGACGGTTTCCATTTAAAAAACTGAAGTATACCGCAATATGTTATTTTTGGATCACCCTGTATTGTACAGCTATAGCTAAAATATACCAGGAGAGTCTTACTGTCACTCACACAGTTCCACACTTATAAACATTCAAACCGCATGAAATTTAAATATTCGTAATGAAAACATAATGTTATACAGGGTGTCCGCAAAGTTGGGGTTTTCCTTTTCAGAAACAACTACCCTTGAAATAACAAAGGTAACGTATAGTGAAACGAGGGCGACCAAGTAAAAAAAAATAAAGGAAAAAGTACTCATTCTCCAGTTGACGAGAAGGGCTAAGTACGTCTCTGCCCGAAATCATACCGCTCCAATAGAGAATGAAATCAGCTGATGCGCTACCGAGCAGACGCAGGCAAACAAGGAAGGCAAAATGTTGCGTAAAAAAGTCTAGGTATTGCATCCCGTCCAATCGATTTGGGATGCAACAACCACTCACAAAACCGCACTCTTGCTGGAAAATCGTCAGGTTGAACGGCTTGTACACGTTGGACGTGAAACGGATACAGCCCCTCTTCACGCAGCGTTTGCCACACTTTAGTTTTTGATATTTGCACTTCTCTAGCCACGTCTCTAGTGCTTTTTGTTTTTTGAAACGCACACTGACCCCAACCCAGTTCTGCCGTCGGGTTGAGCCCTTGTAACAGTCGGGGATATCGCGGCGGGTCGCGGCTACAGGACGGTATTCAGATATTTTTGATGTTGCAGAGCCCTTTATCTCGGTTCCCTTAAGACATTGATGTATATGGTACTAAGTAAAATTGCTTATGTTTTCAAGATCTACACGTCGTGTAAAGGAAAACCCCAACTTTGCGGACACCCTGTATTTGTACTTACCCACTGAAAAAACAGCCATGATTCCAAAAGACGACGAAAAGTACGGCATTACAGACTTTGTATTTTTCTCCAATTCGTGATCCAACGTTCTAGACGAGAATCTCGCTATCCTTATATATTTGAACCTGTTTTCTTTATCTTGAAGTGTCTCTATGAGGTCCAAAAATGCGTCTTCCCATGCAGAACCCCTGAAAATATAAGTCTATACTATAGGCCTACTCCTAGGACTTTAACATTTCAAAAAATTATGATATTTTTTCTAATTGTGCAAGTGAGAACGTAAACTTATAATCATACTTACAATTTATCGTTTCTTTTAAAATCGGAGTTGGCAAAATAGACGAGTTGCACAGACGGGACGCTAATAATGAGACCATCTTCGCTGACTTGGGTCCCGCCGAAGAATACCGGAAAAGCATGTGCGTCCCAAGTTACAGGGTTGAACATCAAAGGGAACGTCAGGTTTATCTTCTTTTGCTCTACCTGAAAAGAAATTGTGGTTTTATAAATTTGGATGAGATTAGGTAGAAAGGGTAATTAAGATTCGACCGCCAGAGATGGCCAGAGAAATTTGATTAAAAATAGCGTTACTAAGTTTCCAGCTCAAACTTTCCAGCAAGGATAAAACAGCTCTGTTAATATCTGCCTGTTATTCGTGACGTCATACGTGAAACCGTGGTTGCAATGCACTTTACCGGTAAAAGCACCTAAACAGGATTTATGCTGCTTAAAGGCAATGAAGGCGTACGAAAGAATTGACAAAATCATTTCAATTTATTATTATACTATAACTATCTAAAACTGTAATGACTCCTCGATGTTCACGTGAACATCACTTAACTACCAGTAGTCGGCTGTTCATAGGCGGGGTATGAATGTTTAACATGGGTGAACTAGATGCCACATTTTTGTTTCTTCCTTCACAACATGACGGATAGCATTCTGCCAAGCTTCGGGCGTTACTAGCTGTATGGAAGTCTCAAGTAAAACCTTAACGTCTGGTAATTTGAAGGTTGTGTTATGGCGCGCAATATAACCCTTCACTTGAGCCCAGATGAGCTCTATTGGGTTCAGTTCACAGTGGTATGGCGGTAACCGCAGCACAGTGACACCATATTGACGGGCCATCTCATCAGTCACGTAACTAATGTTCGCAGGTTTGTGCTGTTTAATTTTTTCATACAATTCCGCTTTCACACATGAATCGTCAAACGGGATTCCTTTTTCGCGCAACCATTGCTGCATGTCACTTTTTCGAGATCCCATCGTCGGTACACGTTCGGCTCGACGACTATGGTAGGAAGCATTATCCATGACGATCACAGAGTTGGGCTCAACTCGCTGAAGCACCCCTTGAAACCAGCTCTCGAAGCAGGTGGCATTCATTTCGTCATGGTAATCACCTCCTTTCTTAGAGACGAAAATCAAGTCACACTCTTCTAAAAAGCCACTATCGCTACCAATATGAGTTACGATCAATCTTTGACCTTTCCCTGACGGTCCACGAAGACCTGATGAAAAACCTTCAATGCTTGCTTGTCGGTTACTCATTACGTTTTTGTCTATCCAGGTTTTTTTAACTGTGTGACCTGCATTTACCCATGTCTCGTCCAAATAATAGATTTTTCTGCTTTGTCGCCTATATTCAATCATTTCGCGTAGGTATTTTCGACGCCAGGCGACTATTTCAGGTCTCTCTATCAATACTGACTTCCGATTACGCGTTTCGTAACGAAACTTAATTTCGTGCAGGGATTTCCTCATTACCTCGACGCTCATTTGGGGTATAATTTCATTTTCCTTGATCGCTGCATGTACAGCCTTGAGGGTTGGTATCTCATTCCTAAAGAAGAATGAATGTACGGTTCGCCTTAACGCCATTTTGCTATCGTCATCCAATTTAACGGCCTTTCGTCCCTTCAAATTAAACTTTGGATCAGTAGTAGCTCCAGTTTTCTTCTTTTCATGCACCACCCTGCGAATGGTCCACTCTGGAACGCCTGTCATACTTTCACAACATAGTTCAGATAATTGAACACGTTGAGCACGATTTCTTTCGCGTCCCTCTTCAGTGCTTTACGAAGCCGTCTACTTGTTCCCTGGCTTTCAGTACTTCCACTCGTGCCATTTGTACTCTCCATGGTTAAGTATAACCAAAACAGTAACCACAGAGACCACAACAATAACAATCACACAACAATTCTTATAAAAACACACAATATGCGATCGCTCAACGAAACACGTTCCAATGCGTTGCCGACGCCTATGAGTCTGCCGGTCGAGGCGCGTCTTTGATTTCATTGGTTCTACCGGCGGAGAACAATCAGCCATTATTTCCATCTCTGTCTGTGCTGTTGACCACCGCAAAGCCACAGAAACGACATATGTCGTACGGCTGTACTGGAAGGAAGCCGGGATCGAGCTCTGATCACGTGTTGATCACGCGTATGAGTCATTACAGTTTTAAATAGTTGTAGTATAGTATATTTATTTATTTTATGAGTTGTTAGAGTCAAATGGAAAAAATAGAGGATATGCGTATCTCAATTCAAACAAAAATTTGTTTACTCTCAAAGGCTGGGACGCCACACTTTATGTGTATACAGGTTATGTTATGATCGATTACGCATTAGGCTAAAAAACGGCAACGCTGTCTCCTTCTTAGGCGACGCGCCCGTGCTCGATATCGCGCGTTGCCGCTGTTCTCGCTTTTTAGACCTCGCGCTGAGTAATCATCGATTACTCAACCTGTATATGGATAAAATTGTGCAATGCAAATACGTAGTAAGCAGATACGATTTTAGGAACTTCCACCAAAGATTTTTGCAACAAGTTCAGAAGCACACATGTTTCTGAGAGCCGGATTATCAATAGTCATGCAACTATAATGTTAGGCTTGATTGTCAGAGATTCCAATCATACAGGGTGTGCGTTTGAACACTTCTCACCACGGATTTATCGAAAAACGCTTGGGCTTGCCGAATCTACAATTCGTTTATAATTTAAAACTACGAACATATAGTCAACGCCAAACAAAGTGGCGTGCACGTCATCAAGGTGAGTGTGTTGAAAAATTTACATTGTTGCCAAACTTTTTGTAAAATAATAAAATTTATTATTTACATATCTAGGTTTATAAGCAATATTAACCTCAAATGAGAACAAAAATAATAGTATAATAAAATTATAGATCTGTACTTGCATAATCATTAAGTATGACAATTATTGATCAGATGACACTATGAAACTACCATATTTAATTGATAGCTTAAAGGTACTGAATAAAAATCCAAATGGGGTCCTCCAAATTTTATGCATGGTATTTATTTTACAGAATTCATACAGAAAAATGCATTCTAAAATTAGGTAAGCTACTGGTGTAAGCTTTTTCTGTACAATAAAGTTAGTCGGAGTTTCTTTCTTCAGCGCTGTCTGAATCTGAATCTTCATCACTCTCAAAGTTGATTATTAAAGGTTCGATGTCTGGTCGATCAAAAATTCGTTCTCTTTCATACCATTTAAAAATTTCTTGCTCAGTATGTCGAACACTATTTTTCCACATGTCTGGGGTAACCGTTTGTAGAGCCTTGTTCCACATATCCAAACAGTCTTTTTCACTGTTACCATCTCTACCAATATGTCTGTTATAGTAACCTTTTGCTATGCCCCAAATTAACTCAATAGGGTTAAATATACAATGGTAAGGAGGCAGACGAAGAACTTTGTGCCCATGTTGTTCCGCCAATTCATCAATCACGTATATTTTAGGTGGTTTGTTTCTAAAAAAGCAGTTATTTTAAGAATAGGAATAAACAAAAGAAATATAAACTGTCGACCAAAATATATATAATTAAGAAGCATTATGTACCGAGCAACAATACTCAATAGCTCTGTTTTAAACATTGTGTTTAAAAATGGTATGTTTTGATTTGTCAACCAGTCTTGGATATTTTTTTTTGTCCATGCATTGTTGGGCACTTTGTTCAATATCATGCTGTGATAAGGGGCGTTATCCAGTATAATCATAGATGGACTCTCCAATTTTTCTAATAACTGATGTTGAAACCATTTCAAAAAATTGTCCTGGTTCATCTCTCCATGGTAATCGCTCAATTTTGTTTTCGAAGAAAATATCGCTTCACTACCCTCAATAAACCCATTTTCATTTCCAGCATGTAATATAATGTATCTAAAATATATTAGTTTTAAATTTTATAGTGCAAATTGTGTAAAAGTACATACCTTTTACCATCTGTTTTAATAGCTTTCACGCTTTTTTGGTTTCCATTTTGCCAAGAGCGACCTATGGTCCCATTTTGAAATATCCAAGTTTCATCGAGGAAAACAAACTGGTATAAGGCCTCAACCTTGGCTTGATTGTATTGCCTTAGAAATTCCACCCTTTTCAAAGCTATACTTGGTAGTTCCATGAGCCCTCGTCGCGGATTGTCCTTAAGCCACTTAAATCCAAGATCTCTAAGCAACCGCCTTAAAGACGTGGCACTACCATCAAATAATGCCCTATCTCTTAATCGAGACCATAAAGTTTGTATCGTAACTTGTTCTTCTGAAACCATGTGTAATATGACATTATAATTTAGTTAACAAATTAATGCAAATTTCTGATAAGTTATTATAATAAGATCTTACTTTTGTGATACATATTATAGATCACTTCTCGAATGGCACTTGTATCCAATGTCGCTGTGTTGGTTACACGTTTAATATAACTCCGCTTTTTCTTGGGCGATTCTAAATTTGCAACACTTTTCACACCCTCGGAAATACGACTAACTGTCCTTAAACTAATTTTTAAAGCAGCAGCAACACGCTACAAAAAATGAAATAAAATTTCACTATTATTAATATACATTACATATAATTATTAGTAACCTACCTCTTGAACAGCATTTAAAGGCAACAAAGGCCCGTTGTTGTCCCTTTCTTGCTCAAAGTAGTGCATTAACGAGGCCACGAGTTCCTTACACCGACTATTTAACTGTTTGGGCATCTTTATATACCAAAATTGCCTTTATCTACTCGTAAAATGAATAATTTTGTTTTGAAACAAACAGTTGTTGATTTACAGTATGCGGGGCCAAAGGATTTATAAAGATTTGAAATGCCACAAATTGATTCAGTGTCAAAATTAATACAAATGTCAGTTCCCAGTTTAAATAAGTTTCAAGGTGACAATGTGTCAACGCTGCGAAATCGGTTTAGTGCGTTTACATGTCGATAAGTGATTGGAGCGTTTGCAAAACATTTTATTTCGCATAATGCGTCTAAATTTATCAGAAAGCAACTTATGTGATATTTTAATAACAATGTTTATATGACTATTAACCATAATAAGAGAGTAATGACCATTTTACAATTTATATATCACATTAATATGAAACTGCAATAGAGCAATTGTTTGTGATAGAAACCTAGGCATTAGGTCGGGGAATTTTTATCGTGATGACGTGCACGCCACTTTG